TGGGGTAGTGTTGAATTTTTCACTTTTTCATTAAGGCAACTTTTCTATATATAGCTAGACGTCACGTGATGACGTCGTAGTGGAGAGACTCAATGACGTATATACAATGGATAACAATAGTAAATGTTTTATCAATGGCTTTTTTCCGATTTACCAATGTTACATTTTACGAAAAAAGTCTAAATTCGGCGAAATATGATCTGGGTACTGCCTTAACATACCTGCGTATGCGTCTGAAGACAAAATATTGATTGATTGATTGATTGTACATGTATGTTATTTAATGACCCATTTGAGATTTTTTCACTCATATAGAGACGCCGTATGTTATGTTACGATGTTATAATGTTATTTAAATAGAAATAAAATTTGTAGTTAAAAATCTGAACCTTAAGAATGAGGTTAAAAGAACAAACTTTATTTCCGTGCATTCAACAGAACAATAGAAAAAAGTCTTATTTTGAAGGATATCGGTACAGAGATAGTCTGATATTACAATTACTATCAGATTGCTAATATCGGACTACCAAATGTAAATTTGTAGGCTGCAAGAACATGTTTTAAGTAATTTGATCAAACTTTGGACCTTCCAATACATGAGAAACATTTTATAATGATTATGATAGTAAAAGTAATAATAATAAGAATGAGAATAAATATATTTCAAGCAATATAGGGCTATACTTATTTAAATACATCATGCCAGAATAAATGTGATTTAATTGCCTTTCTTAGGTCTTACTGAGGATGTGCATGTGTATGTGTGTGTTGGGGGGGGGGGGGGTGTTGCTCGTCATCGCTGCCTACACTAAACAAAATGGTCTAAAATCTTTAGAATGGTTGAGATTCCAACTGTTAAGCTAGTTACATATATATTTTTACTATTAATGTCAAGATGCTTTGAGCGATAGGGATGGACAAGTACCCTAGCAGTTATTCCCAACACGCTGATTTTATAACTGATCAATTACCTAGTTTAGATCCTCACCCATAAACCATTTTCTCGTTGCTTATTTCAAATTTTAAGAAGGGAATGGTAAGTCAAATGCCCCCAGGACCATCATCTCCAATTCCTTTGCGCTTTCTTAAGGCTTCCCAAGGCTTTAAATGCGTTCAATACATGATATTGCATTGCGTGATCGAGTAAAGAACCGAGTACATTTCAAAGGTATACTCTTCGTTAGCATTTGAAGGCGCTGAATTTCAATCAAGGCAAAGTTTTTTGAAATATTTGGAAAAAAATATTGAAAAATACATGAACAATTAAGAAATGTGAATTTTTACAATAGCGTTGTGACAATTTACATGCAGTTTAAAATAAGGTATAAAGTTTAGGAAACTCTCCCCGTCATAACGGCTCAAGTTTGCAGTGACTTCACGCCATTTTCCATTGTACGTCATATACTGGTAGTCAGAGAAGCGAAGGCATATAGTGCACTGTGATATTTTATGTCTTGTTTGTTTGTTTGTTGTTTTACGTCCCTCTCGAGAATTTTTCACTCATATGGAGTCGCCACCACTTGCTGGTGGAGGGCTGCAAATTTATATCTATACTCGGCACTCAGGGCCATTAAGCAGTCAGGGATCTTTTTTTGTGCCAACACCTACTGCGTAACGGGACCTCGGTTTATACTGTCTCATTCTAAGGACCGATCTCAACGTCCCGCATGTGATTCGAACCTGTGACGTTAAGATCAGCTCATTACTCAGCGACTCTGGTGCAGACGTTTTAACCACTGCGCCACACAGGCGACGATATTCTATGGTAAACCTTGATCTACAAGCGTTTTTTTTATAATTGGTCGTAATATCTTGAAGACGGTTGAGATCCCCTCCCCCTAATCAATTCTTGCTGCTGCTGATGTCAAAATGCATTGACTATTACATGTATATTGGGCAGGTGCTTTCCAGGGTTATTCTTAACCAATTCCCTCCTTTCGTAATGTTTGCTTATACGAGTTATCGTTCCTGCGGGACGGTATGTAAACTTCCGGTAAAGAGTTGCATAGCGCCATATTCCAAACGATGCGATAGAACCACTTCGTAATGAAGGCACAGACTTGCCGTTATCATTCAATACCACGGTGGAAGACATACTTAATTATCAGAAATCTCAAATACAAACATTTCTGCGAGTAAATCACATAAAAGTGAGTGGCAACAAGCTGGAACTCGCCCAACGTGTAGTGAAGGCTATAAAAGATCGTTCGTGCACGACGCCCAGTCAAATACCCCCACATCAATCGTGTCAAACTTCAGATGTACCTGTACCAGATATAAAGGACCTGCATTCAGGTTGGGCAGGTAAATCGGATATGTTTCCAAACATTAAAATTCAAGATGTGGAGAATTATTTGATCCACAGTAGCCACAGGACTGTCGATGCAAAGAAAATGCAGTGCTATAGACTATATATTAGAGGATTAAATTTTTTCAAAGAGGGCTACATACATAAGATTATGATGAATGAGATAAATCCTGACAGTGAGTATTGCTATATACGATCAAAATACTATCCTTCAATGAAGCAGGGTGTGTATGAGCAGTGGATCCTAATGACAAAGAAACCCCCTTTTCACGTCCAGAAAGCAAGTTGCACGTGCCCAGCAGGGTATGAATTACCAGTATTAACTAAATGAAAATCACTTTCTTAAATGATATAAATATGCCAAATTAAAATTATGAAATAAATGGATTATTTCTCTCATTATTTAATTATGCATGCATTCATAAAACAATAATTCTAACAATGAACACTTCAATTTAATTTTTGATATCTCAGTGAATAGCATTATTTAATCAAATTGATAAATGTTATAAACTCTCATAGCTGATATGAATCCATGTATATGATTATGTTATGTATTTGCAGCCTTGGTGAAGGATGTACCCATGTTGCTGGACTGTTGTTTGCCCTGGAAGGACGCCCTGTGACAGACGATGATGTTCCATGCACTTCAAAGCCTTGTGAGTGGAAACGAGCCAACAAAAGAAAGAAAGATACTAAACCTGTGCAAGACATGAGTTTCAAGAAGATCAAATTATCTGGAGTAAATGTAAAGAATAAAAAAAACTGTGAATTATAAAGTAGATAGCATAAAATTTAGAAACTCGTTGTCTGCAAAACTTGGAAATAACTCACGTGCTGCTATTTTTGACATACTTCCCCCATGTGCTAATAACAATATTGATGTACAAAGTGACCTCAATATTGGTCATTTTGAAGAGGTAGAGACTAGTGACCATATTTTTCACCTTTCTGACAAACATATTGCGTTAAACTGTTCAAGATGAAAATATGTCTCAATCTGACTTTTTGACTTTTATATCCACATGCAGTCAAGAAATAGTTGATGAAATTGAAGTTCGAACTAAAGGGCAACATAACAATCCTTTGTAGCTTTCAGCTCGAGCAGCTCGTATAACAGCTTCAAATTTTCATAAAATTAAAACAAAAAAAAAACTCCACAAAATCGGAAAATATCATATGTAGACTCTTGGGTCAGGGTAAACCTTTAGAAAATAGTGCTGTGCATTGGGGGATTAAGCAAGAACCCATTGCTAAAAAAAAAGGTACATAGCTTACATGAAATTGAAGAAAAAACAGAAAGTCATTGTTGAAGATATGGGGTTGGTTTTGTATACACATTGCTCTTACTTAGGTGCAAGCCCTGATGGCTTAGTGAAGTTTGAAACACACAAATATCTTTTGGAAGTAAAGTGTCCTTTTAAATGGAGACAGTGTACTATTTTAGAAGCGTGCAAGGATAAAACATTTTGTTGTTATATTGACGATACCAATACAATTCAGTTAAAGAAAAGTCATAAATATTATACCCAGGTGCAGGGTCAAATGGGTGTATGTCAAATGGAGAGATGTGATTTTGTTATTTATACGATCAAAGACATTTTAGTCATTCCCATCCAATTTGACAACTCTTTTTGGGAATCATTACTCATAAAGCTAAATAAATTCTATATTGAAGAGCTCTTTCCAAAATTGAAAAACTAAGACGAAGTTTTATGAGCCTTTGAATTGCATCATTTTGTGTAAAATGATAAATCATAGTCTATGCATATATCCAATGTTTTATTTCCTTTAATATCATGTGTCATTTGACAATATTGACATTGGTGAACCATGTTTTCATCCTTAATGACAAAGTATGAGTGTAACTTCAATAACTGGTGATGAGAGAGTTTACAGTTTTAGTACACTTGTCTTCTTTGTATAAATTGTTTAAAGATCTGTTTTACATTAGTAACTGTATTTCTGTAAATAATAGTTACTTAGATACACCATACTTTTAAATGTATAAAATTGTTAAAGCTGAACACTACTCATAAATAAATACTATGGAAAGCCATAGGGGACCCCCAGGGTCAGGGTCTATATAATCTATAGTTTTAACCCTGGCCACCCATGATTTCTACCCTGGCCTTCCCATCTTTGAAGCCATAGGGGACCCCCAGGGTCAGGGTCTATATAATCTATAGTTTTAACCCTGGCCACCCATGATTTCTACCCTGGCCTTCCCATGTTTGCATCATGGACACCCCACGCTTTCTCATCATGGCCTAGCCGTATACAACCTGGCCGATCCATGTTTGCAGCATGGCCATCCCATCTAGTCATGTTTACCCCGACCATACACAGCCTAGCCCGGCCATGTACTACCCTGGCCTAGCCATGTTCGCACCATGCCTATCCCACGCTTCTAAACATGGCCTGGCCATTTTCACCCTAGCCATGTATATTATCATGCATCTTGCATTCGACGATTAGCTATCCTGGCTGGCCATGTTCAACCTGGTCTTGCATAATAATGTCTTGGCGTGGCCATGTTCCCCATAACCCTCTACCATACATAGCCTAGCCTGGCCATTTTGCTCGCGTACCCTGGCCGTATAGGCCTGGCCATAATAACCCTGGCCATGTACACCTTCGACCCTGTACATTGCCAAGATTTCGGGTGACCTCGATCATTAATTCCCAAGCTTCTACGAGATGAACGGCCAAGATTTCAAAAGATCGAGATTTGGCCGGCCAAGATTTCAAGAGATCGAGATTTGGCCAAGATTTCTAAGGACGCGGATGCGGTGTGGTCATTACATTCAAATTGATGTAGGTCTGAGTCGTGATCATTACGTTTGATGTAAGTAATATATCAATAATATTCTTTGTTGTTTGTTTTAATGTAACTAACTCTCATTAAATGAGAAGAATTCTTGTTTTTTGATGTAAGTTATACCTCAGTTTGTGCAGTTATTTTACTTTCTCCCAAAACTGAAGCGAGTATCTCATGATCGAGGAAATTCGAGTGAAATCTTCATTTTGTATTGAACATGTTGAATCTCAATTAACATTCATAACTGTTAATCTTATTTTCTCTTAAAGTCATTTTTTTTTATACCAATAGATTTAATATGTTGACGGTGCGACCGTTGGGGCGAGCGCATTGTTCACTTCATTTTAAGACCCGCCTCTTCAAACCGCACGAGACATTTGGAACGTCTTAGACTGTGACGTCACATGACGTCGTACGTTAGCTGCATTTCCATAAACAAAGTTTAAAAAGTGCAAATATTTTAACAAAGAACGTTTAATCTACTATCTGCATGCAATAGCCATTAATTAAGGTGAGTTTATTTTTTGTGAAATTTTAGTTGTTGTCACCGCGTGAACGAAGTTAGCAGCGAGAACAAGAAGCGATGCATTGTGGGTCAGAATTACTGCGGAAAAAAATTCTATTGAATGAATGTGCAGTAGTCCGAATTTTCTCTTCGCCCAGGCGTTGTCGTTAGAGCTCGCAGTGACGAGCGGCGCTTTGCGCCGCTCGCTGCGCTCGCTATAAAATATTATAGAGACTATATGTCTTTTAGGGTTGATGATTTCTAAATGTTCACGAATGATATAAACCAGAATCAATCAGCACTATTTCTTGTTTTAGGTGTATAGCAAGAAAAAGCTACATATAGCTTTATCAAGCTTTATAGCTTTATTAAGCTATTCAAAAAATAACATTCACTTTAGTATCGTAATATATAACTGCTTCCCTAACATTGAAAAACAGTACCGCTAAAATGTGTATCAGGTTCCAGCCTCCCGGTTTGTAAGGTAAGTATAGGTGATTTTTCCCTTGTAAATCTTAATGAATACCTTAGTTTGATGTTGTAAATATTTATTTTATGTGATTTTTCTTTTGAATAAATTGTATGAACAGCATTCCAACACTCAAAGGCATTCTGCAGTTTTTCATCAAGGAAATTCGAATTATAAATTGTATACAATTAAAATAAATGCGCAGACTCTTTTATTTTATATGCAATTTTGAACATGAAGGCATATGGTATTTTATGTGACATTTAGAATCAAGTTGTTTTGGGGGTGAGTGTGCACGGGATGGGGGGAGGCTTCATCCTTCTATGTATATATATTATTTTTTCTTTCCTTTTTAGAGACTATGTCAAAACCAAACATCTATTTTAAACTTGTTATTTAAATATTTTGCAATCAAGATGTAGGAAGTGATTTGTAATACCCCATTCATTAATATCTGCATGTTTTGAATTTTTTGAAAGAACAAAGTTGATTTTAGAAAGAAATGCATGTGCATTGTATATTTTTGACAGTTGTCATAAGAACCTCTGAAGTAAAACAACATTAAGTTTCTCTCCAATTTTGTTTTGGTAAATTCTCACTTAGAGATAAGATGTTGACAGATGTATTTTGAAATTCATAAAGTTATTGGTGGGGGGAGGGGGTGAGTAACTTAGAAGAGATGAGATGTCATATATTTTGAAAATCATAAAGTTGTTGTAGGGGGGGGGGGGGTGGGGGGGTGGTAGAGCCAGAAAATTGCACATTGTACGTGGGACTTTATTTGTAATTGATTCTCTTAATGAATAAACAAAAGAAATAAATATTATTTTAAGTGAACAATTACAAATGAGCAAATATAAAGTTTTTGATAATTAAATTTAAATCAACAGTCATCACATTACAGTTCAATTGAGAGATATGGGGTGAGGGTCTGGTTAAAGAAAATTATTTAATTTTTTTGTCCAGCATTTAAACAATGATCTTGCTTCTTGTAACCACTTAATTACCATATATAAATATATACATGTACTTTTAGCTTCATAGAGGATCCATTTAGCAAACTTTGCGAAGAAACCTACTTGAGGCCTTGATGAGGAGTACATTACATTAATACTGGAGGTCAGTCACAAATACTGTTAATGCATGTACATGGGGAACTTAGTATTAAGTAAATATACCCCTCTACAGTTCATTTCAGAATACTATCTTTTTTTTTGACCTAGTTCTTGAAATTCTAAAATGTGAGCGAAATATTGGTGTGCTTTGAAAAATTGCAAGAATTCATGTTATGAAGGTAGAAGATTATTTGAAAAATTTGCAGATCTAACTCTGCAATAAATACAGTATTTATGAAACTGGTAACATATTTGCTCAATGACAAATTGAGACAGGTAAATGCCTCAGTATTTTGAAAAAGAGAAAACATGTGCTGATGGAACAACTGAAAGGGGCCTGATTGCGATTTGAAGTGGAAGTATTAAAATGTTATTTTTCCTTTCTTTTAAGTATTGATATTGGTATTTCTAGACTAATGGTCAACCTAAATTCAAAAGTAAGTTGCAAGTTACAAGCAAGAAGCAGTGATCACAATTGTTAGTTATGTAAACAAGGCCTGGGCCTTGTTTTTGTTTTATACACAGGTCTTTTTTTTTTGAAAATGTCATGGTTGACTCAAACTTTTTTATTAGCAAGTTATTTAAGTGTACACCATTAAACAAAAAACTCCAATGTTTGTCACATCTCATTTCATTCTAAATATGGTATTTTCAGTTTGGCATTCTATTGCCAAAGAACTGTCCAATAACACACACAAACACACCCTCCCTCACCCCCCTCCCCCCCCCTCCCCCCCCCCCCCCCCCACACACACACACACAGAGTTATAACTACTGCTCGAAACAGACATACAAAAACAAATGACATTTATTTAGACTAAAGGAATATCTTGACTTTTATCACAGCTGTAATGGCAAGACTTGGTGAAAAACTTGTTAAAGCCTTCCATCAGCAAGAGCTGTGTGATTTAGAAATTTCCTTATCAGATGGAAGTATCATGGGTGCACACAGGACAGTGCTCATATTGGGCAGCGATTGGTTTAGAACATGTTTAAATGAAAACTGGGACCCCAAGCAATCAAAAAGGACAGTTATTTGCCATGATTTCTTGCCTTCACAAACAAGATCTGTGATAGAATTTCTGTACCAACATGAGATTGATTTATCTTTTGAGAATGTTGAAGATATGTTACAGGCAGCTCAATTTTACATGGTTTCAGATTTGTCTGAGAAATGTTTAGATTTTCTTCAACAATCCATATGTTTTGATAAAGCTTTGCTTGTTTTACATATTGCACACAAATTTGGTTTGAAAAATGTTGTGCTATCATCATTGTTATACATTGACAAATTTGCCAGAGACATTTTATCAAATAGTCCTGCAAATGAAATGTTTTTTCAGTATCCTGTAGATTTGATTAATTTGCTGCTTGAACGAAATACATTATGTATTCATGAAGAGAAGTTATTTTTGTTGATAGTAAAGTGGATGAATTCAGAATGCAGAAACGTTTCAGAAACTTGGAGGAAAATTGTTCCAAATATCAGGTTTGGTAGAATGTCTGCTACTTTTTTTATTGAAAATGTTGTTTATAGAAACATAATTAGTGATGATTTTGCAATGAAAGTTATGTTGTATTTGAATTCATTGAGTGTTTGTAAGGACACAGTTGGTCCAGCTTTTCAATCTCGTGCTTGTGTGTCAGAGGAGGACATTAGGATCATTAGATTTTTTTTCAAAAAGTCCAAGCAATACTTGGAAGTGTGATGAATTGAATGGTGATAGACTTGTGTTTTCTGTAAATAGAAATATACAATTTCATGGCATCATTTTGTATGGAAACTACAATGTCTCACTTTTAGTTGAAGTGTCATTATCTTGTGATGAAAATATTCTCCTTAAGGAAAAAATACGTGAAGAGTTGACTGAGGAGTGTGAATTTTCATTTATTTTTGCAAACAGTGTTACTTTAGAAAAAGACAAGTTGTATACAGTTGCTGTGCACATGTCTGGATGTGATGTATATTTTGGTATAGATGGATTAACAACTGTTCAAACAATCTTTGAGGTAAATAAAACTGTCACAGTAACTTTTTCCGACAGTATTTGTAGTCTCACAAACTCAAGAAGAGGACAAATAAAAGGCATTATTTTGCATTGATAACTACAGCAAATTTGTGCATTGATATTGCATATAAACGCAAATCATATAAACCCTGTTTGTAACAGACGTAAAAAAAAAATCCCTCTTCATGTATATACCGGTACCTTTGAAATATGTATTCCTCTAGTAACAGTTTTAAATGTTTATATTGTTTTATTGGGGGCAGTAATGTGGCTGCTGCATTATATTTGCATTACATTTATAGACATGTAACATTGAAAAACATTTTGTATTCATGAACAGTTTAGTGTTGTAATTGGAGTGTTTTATCGGGGGCGGTAATGTGGCCGCTCCATTTACATTACAATTATTACTTATATATCTGCAGCATTGAAATACTTTTTGTAATCATTTGGATTTTAGTATCGTTAACTGGAGTATTTTATCGGGGGTGGTAATTTGGCCGCTCCTTTTGCATAACAAGTAACTTCCATTACATTTGTTATTAAATTTATTGTAAATATCATTGTGTCTTTCATAATGCAAATTATTATTATTTCATTGCAATGGAGTATATCATTGCTGATTGTATGTACTGTCAAACTTCGTTATCTCGAACCTGATGAGCCTGAGAACAAAATTCGAGATATCCGAGGATTCGAGATATCAAGGATAAAATACTTAAAGAACATGTGGTTAGGACTTCCACATCACTTCGACATATCCATGGTATTCGAGATATCGGAGTTCGAGATATCAAAGTTCAACTGTATATGGGTGTGTTACTTATGTATTACAAGCATACAAAATGCTTGTTGGCAAAATTAAAAAAAAAATCCCAGCACTTAAAATCATTTCACTTTGTATACCTCTTTAGCAATCTTATAAGTCAAGCCCTATTCATATCCATAGTTATGGGTGAATTATTTAAGATATCAGATATTGGGTATATATGTCTGAGTTAACAAGCGAACACAAAGAACCAATGATTTAACTTTATTCACATAATAAATAAATACAATTGTTAAAAAGTTCACCGAGATATAAACTTGGTCGGTCAAATCCTGTGAAACATGAAGGTCTTCTCAGAAGATTTGTTCATATAACAACAAATTTCATATCCCGATGAAATTTTAACATTGCAGTTTATAACTTTAAAAAGTATGAACAGTGTTTTAAGAAACAATGTATCAGTCAATCAATAAGCTTGTCTGATGATCATTGTGACCTAAAAAATGTGACCTCTTAACCAGTTCAAAATTTCAAAAAGAGAGAAATGTTTTTGCTTTTTAGTAGGTTTATATTAGAAAATATATAGAACACATTTGAACAACATTTCTAAATTTTTGCATGAGAGAATGCTTAGCTTGACTGTGGTCTTGTTGTAATTGTGTTTGTGCCCTGTAATATTTGTGTGTCATTAAAAATATTATCTTAATGAATATGGTTTGTGTAGGACTTGAAATTGGTTATTATGTAAATGTTGCATGTAGTTGAGTGTAACATTGAAAATTTTCACCCCAAGAAAACCATTTTCGACCGAGGCGCAGCCGAGGTTGATGGTGGTTTTCGAGGGGTGAAAATTTTTAATGTTACACTCAACTACAGGCAATATTTATTATATTATACTGAATGTTTTATACACATACATATTACATTAAACCTTGCAAGCATAAATTCTGAGCAGTCCATATTTTTTGGAATATCACCCGTTGTCAAGCAATGTTGACTTGCTGCGCTGGAGGGCGTGGCTTCATTATTCAGCAGGCAATGGTGTTTTTTAACAGATGTTTCTTGACAAATCAGATTCAACTAATTTACATGGAAGTTTAATTTATATATATATATATATATATATATATATATATATATATATATATATATATATATATATATATATATATATATATATATATATATATATATATATATATATATATATATATATATATATTTTCTTGAAATGCAGTTGGTTTATCAGTGTGCATCTGAATATAGATATCTGCTGCATTTGATGCAAAAACTGTCAACTGATGTACAGCTCTTTTAAAGTTTTTTTTTTTTTTTTTTTTTTTTTTTCAGGATCTTCTCTCTAAGTTTCATATTAGAAATAAGAAAATATTGACAATGAATGAAGATAACATTTTGAAACTATTGTTTTCCTTTATAATATTTCATTACCAATTAATGATTATGCCATGTTGAATTCTTAAGAGAAAAATGTGGTATTAACTATATACATGTATATAAACAACAAACAGCAATTTAAGAACTTACCAATAATTTTATGTACAATTTATTGCAGATTTAAAATCGTATATTGAGTTTTATCATAGACTTGGTTTGCCACATAAAGAAATTGCCATTTTATTGAAAACAAAACATAATCAACATTACAGGTAATTCTTTTCCCAGACTTTCTACTTTTAATATATTTTTGGACAAGTACAATTTGAAATATTTGTTGAATTTCTAAATGTAGTTATGCAAGAAATGTTTTGCATGAAGGAATTAAACCATTTTAATATAATATTGAATTGTTTCAACACTGAATTACATGCAGATCCTTTATATTTGATAAAAAAAACCCATGCCAATAAATAAATAAATTTCAGGAAATTTTGAATGGATTATAATATTGTTCATGTATTACAGTGTATTAAAATTAAAAGATCTGTTCCTGTTGGATCATTTTTATTACAGTGTTGAGTATCTAAAGAGGAAAGTTATTCCCAAGTTACACTTAAACAACAGGAGAGGATCTGCGCAACTTACAAATTTTGATGATATTTTACAAGCTATACTGGTAACTTTTATGTCTTATAGCAATTTGTTAACTTTCATAATATGCATGCTAATATATGATAGTACATGGTCTGTAATTTGTAAATATTGATTATTTCGTAAACATTTACTTTGGCATGAATAATATACAGTATTTATCATAACCCCCCTCCCCCCCAACAAATAAGTTTGATGCTTGAATGACATGTATTTTTTCTTTGAATTCTTGAATTGCTCAGTAAAAGCAGGTAAAAGTTAAATCATTTTCAGTAATTTTATTTAGAAAATTGTGTGATTAGTTATGGAACTGCAATTAAATATTATTAAATTATTAAAATTTAGTCACTTCAAAGCATTATTTTACCTTTTAAAATGAAAAAAATCAATTTTTATGAAATAATTTCACAGATTTTAATTGCAGCTTGAAATGTCTCTAAAGCCAGATAGAAGTGTATCCGATGTGTTCTTTAGATTGAGATTTATTTATGGATACATTGTTCGAAGGTAATTTATATTTGTTGTTTACATACATACTAGCTGTTTTTAATCCCTAATTTGTTTTTCCACAATTTTTACTTGACATGGTGTGGATAATTGGTTTGAAACTTGATGTGTCACTACCTAATGAGAAACATATGATGAAGTTATTTACATGTATTTGGAACTTCTCATTTTCCCAATCAGGTTTATCCTTCAAATAGACATGATGCTCATGATCATTTAAAATTTATATTCAATATTGCAATTCAATTAATTCAAGGAATTTATTCTCGAGAAAACATTAAGTGAAATAATTATTTTCTTTCTAATTAAATTGGATTTTTATGTGTTCGCACAGTACAACCAGGTAATGCACATGCAGTACACATTTTCCAATTACCAGGTATACATTTAGGCATTTGTGTTATTCTTACATTATTATAATGGTTTAAATTATAGTGAAGATATTTGAAAAGACCTTTTCCTTCTTTGTCGTTTCCACAGTTCACATCAGTCCTCATATATTATATAATTTCAAAATAACTGATAGAATGTGCAAATGAAAAAAAAGGTAGTTTGCATGAAACTATGTGTAGTTTCATTCCTTAGGAACTAAGACCTTCCTCCAATAGAGAAGGAAATTTCTGTATGGTTTAATTCTCAGAATAATTCTAGATGAAAACAAATTTACAAATACATGTATTCTCATCCGAATTTTCTTGCTTGTGCAGTACTCTCAGAATGCTTGCTATTCATTAAGTTTAAGGTGCAAGTACAAACAGGATAGTGTGGATGGAGGGGATCGGGTATTATACTATCTGCATATGTTAAATAAGTTATTTAATGATAATAAATGTATCCACTTTAAAATATTTGGACTTTCAGAAAACTGGTACGAGAAATAATGACCACTTTAGACCCTAAAGGAATGTCCAGAAGGAAAGGCAATAAACTTAAAAGAAGGCAGTACCTCAGTAAAGGTTAAATTTAACTACATGTGTGTGTGAGAGAGATAGGGTGTGTGAGGGAGGGTAGGTATGTGTCTTGTGTGTGTGTTTGTGCACTTTATTATGTTTTGAACATTTTCTTTATGGTAAATGTAAGGGAGACAAGTTCTGATTTTTAGTTTTTTTAAGCATATGACTATACAACATTAAATGGAGGGGTTTTATGTAGTCGATGTGATTTCAAAGTCTTGCCATTTTGTTTTTTAGGTCCAAATTGGATATGGCATATAGGTAAATATCAAATTAGCCCAAGACAGTTTTTCTTATTTTTTTTCTCTCTTTCCCCCTCACCCAACCTATTTTCTTAAACATACATGTTGATCAAGTGCCTTAAAAGTAAACATTAAGGATATTTCGTGTTTGGCTGTATTGAAGATGGAGGATTGTAATTTTTGATCTCTGGATGCATGATTGATGGTCATTGTAAATTAATTATATTAGTTGGCTGGATTGCACAGTGTACATGATGAAAGCCCTCTGAGACAAAGATGGTCTAAGATGATACTTTTGTCAATTAACAATGGTATACTGAAATATATGCTCATCCTTAATTATAGATGAAAATGATTGATATATATGCAGGTAAATGCTACTTATTTTTAAGGGTAAAAAGATAAATATTTCCATTTCTATTTGTTTTCTCTGTGATAACTCTGAAAGTTAGGAGAGTTGATTTCTTGATCATTCCACCGGAATGCAAATTTCACCAAGCGAAAGGTCAGGAGGTAAGAAGGCCTAATATGCATGTAATTCTCGTGCGACTGTCTTTGTGTTTGACGTCAGTGGGCGGGGACTATTGAAATTGACATGTGAGGCCTCGTGTAATTCAAATCTATTAGTCTACACTTTTAAAATCTAAATTCACAATCTTATTTCACTATGAAATGGAAATATAAGGAATCACTGTCTAGTTAGTAGAGTATGCCAGGGACATCAACGATAGTGGGAAACGTGGGATAATTTATGCATAACGGGCTTCGCCCATTATGCAAATTATCCCACGTTTCCCACTATCGTTGATGCCCTGGCATACTCTACTAACTAGACAGTGATTCCTTAAATATCTTGTATCCTTAAGCAAGCAGGCACATAACATTGTTTGTTATGGTGGAGAGGCCAGACAAGAAGTGGCCAATTGGCTTGCTAATTTATCTTTCTATATATAAAGATAAAAGAACTTTAAAAAAAGAAAACTGCAGTGGCAACCTGTAGCCTGTGATCTATGTTAAACAGTATTTCAAGAAATATTAATGTGGGATAAATCTTCTTTTTCTAGACCAGTATGATAAGTTGAGTCCATACGGAATACACATCAGTGGCTGTATTGATGGGTAAATTGTTTTTTTTTAAAGCCTTTTGTTTTAGGAAAACATTTATGAAACACTATGAATCTTGTATACAACAAGTGATTGTAATTTTCTCAGATTAACTTTTGAACCACTTCAGGATTTTTAGATAAATGTTCATTTATTTCCTTTTCTTATTAGGTTTTCTCGCTACGTGCTTTGGTGCGAAGCAGGAATCAGTAATAAAAACCCAAAGAAAATTGCAGCATATTTTATAAACACATTAGAACAAGTTAATGGTAATGCTTTAATGTTCTCCTAAAAAAAATGGAATGTAATTGTAAGTGCTAATGGAATTTCTTTCAAAAGTTTATAGGTAAAAGCAGATAAATACTCATTTGTGTTTTATATTGTTATGATAAAGATGACCTTTCCAATTTTATTGAAATGTTTGATGATTTTTAAAACAAAATGATCATTTACCTCTTTTTTTCAGGATATCCACATATTGTAAGGGGTGATGCAGGTTAGTTTTATTTCTTTTATATATTTAGATTTCTGATTTAATAAATATTGCCTTCTGCTGTTTTAAACTTTGCAGCACAAACATTTGGTTAATTTTGTTTCATGCTTTTGTGCAACAAACTGTCTTGATTAGGTGTAGTGCTAGGGTTTGTCCCAGGTTGTCAAAACTGACACTCTCCTGATAAACCTACATTGTGAGAGTCAAAACCGTGCTATCAATTCAATAATAAATTCAATATAACATAACCAGTGAAAATCATTTTTATGCATTGTTTCCTTAATTGTGCTTCCTTTTCTGCTGCAATGTGTTCAAGTGCTATTACAGTACTTTGTTTTTTCAACCTCCACTTCTGTTTGGGGATCCTCTGTGTTTTCTCTGAAAATGTAGTATCACTTAATTAAAAAAAAAGGAATGAATTGAATTTTACTATCAAGTATATATATATACTGAACCAACATAATGATATACACATTTTATTATATATTTACCATGTGTAAAGGTACCTTAATTTGGAAAATTGAATTCTCACATATAATCATAGCCTCCAAACAAAATAAAGTATGATGTATGCAAGGTTTGTATTCAGCAGAGAGGAACACAGTTTAAGGCATTGAAACCCAAACGAGTCGCTTTCAGAAACGCAACTTAGGCCTGTATGAATATTCACTTACCTGAGTCAGAATAAATTAAGCCAAAGTCTACACCATTTTGTGAAAGGGTCCCTGACACAGCAGCCTTTTATTTAAGATAAATGTGAAATAATTCCTTAAAAAAATGATACTTTACTTTTTATTAAAAAGGAACAGAGAATGGGACTGTAGCAGCCATCCAGAACTTCTTCTCTTAAGATGATGAAGATTCTTTCTGCAAAAAAGCCTTTATATATGGCAAATCAACACATAATCAGGTTTATAGATTTTTCTTTCAAAATATACCCATGTCTTTCTTGCATTTTTAGGTCATCTGACTCACTTAGGTGACCTATTGCCATTGGTCTTTGTCTGTTGTCCATTATCAATTTTTACATGCTGAACTTATCCTCTGTAATTATTGAGCCAATCTCCACTAGAGTTGGTGGGTAACATCTATAGAGGAAAAGGAATATAAGTTCTGGAATTCATTATCTCCAACCCCAATGGAGCTGAGATTTTGGATAAAAAGTTGTAGAAATTGATGCATGATTTTAAATCTTCTTCTCTACTCCATGGCATCTAGCAGAGAAACTACTACATTGTTATGATGAACAAGGAGGCCTCTAATTAAAGTCTGAAATTTTGGCCCCAGGAATGGGGGTTTGTGTGTTTGGGTGGGGCACATTGGTCATATAGTGAATATAAAAATATTCTTCTCCACTTCTTGGTATCTATTGGGCAAATTAAGTACATGGATAGGATAAGGAAGGGAGTCTCTATCAAAGTGGTGAAATTTATTGCCCCAGAGTCAGGGGTTCTGGTGTTAGGGTCATATACTAGTAGTGAATGTGCATTAACTATTTGTAAATCTTTACTATTTGCCACATACCATCCAATCTGAGTGTATGTTTAGAATGATCATGGAAGCATCTACCAAAAATATTTATAGTTACGGTCCTACAGTCAAAGATTCTGGCTATAGGGTGGAAATGAAATGAAGCTGCATTTATAATCCTCTCTACTACTAGGCACCCAGCAGGGAAACTAAGTGACTGCATGTATGGGTAGGAGAAGCAAGGAAAAATGTAAAAGTTATGATGCAGGGTCAGAGGTTATTTAAAATTAAATACAATTATCCTAAAGTTTGTCATGAATGAATGTGCAAAGGAAGGCAGCAAGTTTTTCATGTCTGTCTGAGTTCATAGATTTAGTTTTTGTTTATTGAGTCTGTATCACAGTAAACATTATTCTCTCTGTGTGTCAGGAGCGTTCTGGGCCAAATTTTCTGATTCAAGTATTAAGGTTTGGTTTTATTTTTCATAAATGGTTTCAATTTTTTGTTTTCCTTTTTAAGGTAGAATACTTTTAAATATTGTTTTACTCATATGTACAGACAGTTTAAGTTTTGTAATTGTGAGACACAAAAGATGAATTTGCATGCTGTAAAATATTTAAATATTGATAATTACTGAGTTTGATCTTGAAAATATTGTCCTTTTGAAAAAAAATAAAATGGATGTTGACTTACAATGAAGTTTATCAGTATGACTCTTTAATTATCTTTAATTTTTAACTTTAATTTTCAATTTTTATTTTTTAAGAGGATGGAGAGATGGTGGGGAATTTTACGAGGGAAATGTACAGATCGATGGATACATCATTTTAAGGTTAAATATGAGATTTCTATCATTTTATGTAAGAAATCCGATGTTGTTTTCTTTTTGTTTTTTTTGTTTTCCATTTTTTTTCTTTAAAAATTTGTTATTGTTTTCAGGAATTGGAAAAGGATGGCCATTTTACAATCGGGGAAAAACTGCATATGTAAGTTTGCTTTTGACATAGAAGAAAAACAACAACAATGTAGGCTGGCTGTTCATCCATGAATGTTTCCATTAACTGGATATTTTACAATTCTCTCCCTTTTTTCCAAAGAAATCCAACTGTTTTCATATGAAAATGTTTAAATATTGCATGTCAGTGGGGGTAACATTGAAATTTGTGTACATTAGAAATCATTGACCTTCAACGGTAACCCTTGATTGCTTGCAATAATGGAATGTGTATAATATTCAGGCTGTTACAAACTGCAACATTATTCAAGGCATTGTACACTTGTATCTTACCAATTCAGTTAATTGTATGTGTATTTAGATTGTCAAATTCCTTATTCTAAATACTACCCATTTTGACCAAAGAGAATACCTGTGGTGAACAGTACATGCATATACTGTACATGTATTTTGCCATGTCAAAATTTATTTGTGAATATTCTCTGTTGTTATGTGGTTTTGCCCAATTACATGTACTATGTTAATCTATAACCCTAGAAGGTGTGGTTTCATCATTAAAGAAAATTCGTGATCTTTTATTGAATGTTTCTTAACCAGTGCATTTAGTTTTGAAGCCCCAAAAACTAATGTAACCATGTTTTATTTCAGAACATTAGTTCAATATTGTTACATGCAAATTATCAGGAAGGAATTGGAGGAGGTGAAATTGGCATGGAATTACCATAGAATCAGGAAGCAAAAAACAGGCGATGTTGTTCCTGGGATTCCAGAACTCCTTTATCATGTTCCAGAAATGTTAGGTCAGTTAATTTCATGTATGTAATTTTTTAGAATACATAAGAATTGCACAATACAGTTTGGGAAAAGTGCATTGACAGAGGAGAACAACAACAAATATCACACCCACCCTCTCTCTCTCTCTCTCACACACACAGAAAGAGAGAGAGAGGTCACAATTTAAGGGAAAGGGCGCCAATTTTAGACACAAAATTTCATACGCGGATAATAGAGGCATTGATTTTTAGGCTGTCACTCAAACACTGCATTATGATTTATATTATGATTATGCATTTATGACTTCTACTGAGATGTTCTGTGTGCAGTGATTTACTCATTTAATTCTTCTGACAGTGTATAAACATCCAGTCTCATTTAAAAGTATGTAAATTAATGTTGATAATTGACATGAAATAATGAAAATAATTTAATATCATAATTTTGGGGTTTTCCCATTAAAACTAAATTAATTTTCAAGTGTATAAAGTGGAAATTATTGTTGAGATTGTTGTACCATGCTCTTGATGAGGGTTTCAAAATAGAGTGTCAACATTCTTTCTCTCCAGTAGTTTCTCTCTGGTATTTTATTGAATGGGTTTATTTCCACTGCTGATGAGGTATTAAAATAATACTTTCACATGGAGTTCAGTTGAAATTGGTATGGTATGGTATGAAATGTATTTTATATGGAAAAACATGTTGTTATTTAATAATTATGTCATTTTATTTCAGGCAATCCACAGTGCCGAAATTACATTCATCAAATCAATGTTAACGATGAAAAGTTTCAGTTCCTTAAGGACCAATGCTGCTTTGAAAATGACCTGGATAAAGACACTAAGGAAGCTCTTGATGTCATTTGTGACAATTACCATCCTTCAACAGAACTAGAAGCAAAAACAATGTATATAACACTTAAAGATATACTGGAACAATACATTTATCAATAGGTTGTAATGAATTCTTGATCTGATTTATAAATACGTAATATATTCCTATAATTCTCTTCCTTTTTTGTATGTTTTCACCAGCACTGTAACATACACTTTTTTTATATTAGTCTTTTACATGCGTTATTATATGGTACTGGCTTTTCTGTCCATCAGCCTGTTCATCTGCCTTTATAATCACTCTAAGCCTTTGCTTATCAGAATAGGTTCTTGTTTCATTAAAGTAGACCGTGAGAAAAAAATCGAGTGCAGACTTGCTCAATAAAATAAATGGCATTTAGTTTTTCAAAATTACACTATTTAAAATTTTGGTATGCTTTGGAATTAATTAGATGTTGGAAATTGACATTTCACAGACAACAGATTTATGGTAGTAATATTAGCTATGTTGGTAATTCTATTTTTATAATCCACTCTACAAGTTGCAGGGGTATAATGTTCTAATGTGACAACCCCTCTTTTTTTTTTTGGTCATTGCAACTCTGAAACCATTGAAAGAAATTCCATGAGTTTTTTTTAGTTATTAAAGACATGAAGTGGAGATGAGCATATATACAGGAAAATCTGGTTCCATTTTTTTTCTGGGAATTTTGGCCATTTTTGAACTTTTTAGCTCACCTGAACTGAAAGCTAAAGTGAGCTTTTCTGATCTCCTGTTGTCCGTCTGTAAACTTTTCACATTTTCAACTTCTTCTCGAGAACCACTATGCCAATTTTAACCAAAGTTGGTACAAAGCATCTTTGGGTAGAGGGGATTTAAATTTTTAAAATAAGGGCCAAGCCCCCTTACAAAGGGAGTTAATCAAAAAAAGAGAAAAATAGAGTGGGGTCATTGAAATTTTTTTTTTCTCAAGAACCACTGGGCCAGAAAAGCTGAAACGTATGTGAACCCATTCTGGGGTAGTGTAGATTTTAAATTGTTCAAATCATGCCCCCCCCCCCCCCAAGGGAGGGTGGGGCCACAGTAGGAAATCAAAATTTTACATTGAAATTTATAGGAAAAATCTCTAAACATCTTCTCAAGAACCACTGGGCCAGAAAAGCTGAAATTCACATACAAGGATCCTGGGGTAGTGTAGACTCTAAATTGTTCAAATCATGACCCCCGGGCAGGGTGGTGCCACAATAGGAAATCCCAAGTTTGCATTAAAATATATGGAAAGAAATATATAGGAAAAAACTTTAAAAATCTTCTTCTCAAGAACCTCTTGGCCAGAAAAGCTGAAATTTATGTGGAAGCATCCTTGGGTAGTGTAGATTCTATATTTTTCAAATCATGACCCCCCTCCCCTAGGGTAGGATGGGGCCACAATAGGTATTACATGGAGGAAAATCTGTTGAAGAACAGTAGGGCCAAAGTTACTCAGGTGAGCATTGTGGCCCATGGGCCTCTTGTTTGACGTTAATACTGCGAAAACAGTTTGTCATCACGACTGATTAGAATTACATGAACCTTACTAGTTAGTAAGGACAATTTCGAGCAGTGCAGATTTGGTTTTCTTAGGGTTTGCCTCTTTTATTTACTAGTGTATTCAATGCATACAACATGCCATTCAAAATGTGTAGCAGTCAAGGGTATGTTGGAGTATAGAGTATGTGAGCTTGCTTGTACATGCCCTATTCGCCCTTCTTTCTTTTGGTTTTTAATCATATACCAAGTACATGAATAATGAACAACTTTAACAAGATGACATTTCTTTAAAATTTACCAATCTGATTATAAGAAGCCTTATGCAAATGATGTATTATAGATGCTTATCGATATGTATTTGTGCATTCTATAATTTGTTGCCACTGTTTCTTAACTTTGAAAGTTTTAATCATGAAATAGTCCACAGTTTTTAAGCTCACCTGAGCCAAATTAAAGCTCAAGTGAGCTTTTCTGATCGAAATTTTTCCATTGTCATTGGCGTCATTGTTGCAAACTTTTCACATTTTCATCTTCTCAAGAACCACTGGGCCAATTTCATCCAAACTTGCCACAAAGTATCCCTGGGTAAAGGGAATTCAAGTTTGTTCAAATAAAGGGCCTTGCCTTCTTCCAAAAGGAGATAATTAAAAATTTTTGAAAAATTAATGGCATCATTTAAAAACCTTCTCGAGAACCACTGTGCTTGACAAATATGAAACTTTTGTGGAATCATTGTGAGGTAGTGTAAATTCAAACTTGTTCAAATCATGACCCCCGAGGGTAGGGTGGGGCCACAATAGGGGAATTAAAGTTCCACATAGGAATACATAGGAAAAAATCTTTTAAAAATTCTCCTTGAGAACAGCATAAAAGTGATTGGTCAGATTTATACTTACTAATACTGAACTGATTAATTTTCTGCTTTTTCCTTGCCAGAGTGCTCAAGTGAGCGATGTGGCCCCTGGGCCTCTTGTATTATGTAGTAGTGTCATCATTTATCTATTCTTTAGAATTTCTTATTACGAATGTGCAAATGGATATGAATAAGTATGTTGAATGAAAAACATTGGCCACTGTAGTTCTCGTTCCTGGAGCACTGGTTTAGCATTTTGGAAACCTTGGCACTGACTTTAAAATGATAATTTCAACTCCTTTTATGTCATGAATTCAGAAGACCAATATCAAAAATGAAAAACAAATATTCACATGTGAAAGGCAAATAAATTAAACCTTTAATTTTTAGGTCACCTGAGTCACTCAGGTGACTTATTGCTATCTGTTTTTGTCCGTCGTCGTGCGTTAACATTTAAACATTTTCTTCTCTGAAACTGCTCAACCAATTTTGGCATATAGCATATAAGGGTGAAGGGGGACAAAAATTGTGAATTTCATGGTCCCTGCCCCCTGGGGCCTTAGGGGTGGGGCTAAAACCACCAAAATTGATGCAATCTTTAAAAACCTTCTTTACTCCTGGACATCAAGCAGTCAAACTGTTGGCATGATTGTGATATGAGCCCTCTATCAAAATTGTGAGATTCATAGCCCCAGGGTCAGGGGTTCTGGTGCTAGGGCGGGGCTATATAGATCATATAGTGAAAATGCAATATTTCTTTGAAAATCTTCTCTGCTCCTGGGTATGAAATAAACTAACTAAGTACATAGTTATGTTTAGAAAGACTGCCTCTTCTAAAATTGTGAATTTCATGGCCCCTGGGTCCAGGGTTCTGGCGGGGCTCTATTGATTATATAGTGAAAATGCATTAAATCTTTGAAAATCTTCTTCTCTGCTCCTGGGTATTAAATAAATTAACTAAGTATATAGCTATGATGAGCATAACTGCCTCTTTCAAAATTATGAAATTCATGGCCCCTGGGCCAGGGGTTCTGGTGATTATATAGTAAAAATTCATAATTTCTTTCAAAATATTTTTTTCGACTCCTGGCTATAAAGCAAAAAACAAGTGTATAGTTATGATGAGCAAGGATGCTTTTACAAAATTTTTAAAACTTGTGGTTCCAGGGGTTCTGTTGTTTCTTGGGGGGGGGGGGGGCTCTATTTGATTTTATAGTGAAAATGTGTGAATTCTTTGAAAATTTTCATGGTAATAGTGATAAAAGGGGGACAGATAGAAAGATACTAGATCAATTATTTTGTTGATCTTAGTCGTACTATTTTTCTTGCTATGGGGCAACAAAGCTTCATTTATCAGTTTATGGATTCTCTAAATTATTGTACTTGGGTGACCGTTAAGGCCCTTGGGCCTCTTGATTGTTATACTTTCTTTGAGAAAAATGTATTTATATAATTGGAAACTTTGGGTTAAACCTGTAAAAATTGATGCAGTTTCAAAAATCTTCTCTACTTATGGACATTCAGCATACAAAACAAGCACATAGTTATGATGAGCAGGGGTGCCTCTACTAAAATTGTGATATTTCTTGCCCCAGCTTCTTCTCTACTACTGGACAATTAACAGACAAACCAAGCAGATTGTTGTGGTGAACAGGGATGTCTCAACCAAAATTGTGAAATTCTTGGCCCCTG